ACAGTTTGTCACAGCCCCTCGTTTGTTGTCCTCTTCTCTCTCTCTGCCTACGGTTTTACCGGGCAGTTCTGTTTGTGACGATATATATATAGATAGATAGATATATATATACAATGTCTACGTGACGATCTATGTATGTAATATATATCTATACATCGTCAAACAGAACTGCCCGGTAAACCATAGGCAGAGAGGGAGAAGAGTACAACAAATGAGGGGCTGTGACAGACTGTTTCGCCTTAGTTTCACGGACTCATCAGGAGGTTGGACCCTCTACAGTCTGCAGAGTTCCGTAACCGATGATGACACTGAAAGTGATAATCCACCTTAATCCCGTTTGGTTGCGGTTAAGCAACAACGACTGCCTGACAACTGATACTTCTCTGAGGTGGTGAGGACCACCAACCACTGCCCTCAAGGTACCTGTTATGAAAATCGAAGCACACTATCACTCACCCACACCAGACGGAAAACTCCACAGACTGCAGATTCACACTCCATCATAAGCTGGCAAAACGCCCACAAAACAAAGAAAGGTCCATACATATCTATGCATATATATCTATGTATACCTGTGTATACATGTATATATCTATCTCTTTACATATGTATTGTCATAGAGAACTACCTGTTGAGCCATAGGAAGACAGGAAGAAAAGGACAAGAAATGGAGGGCTGCAATAGACTGGTTTGCCAGAGTTTTAGGCACTCATCAGATGTGGCTTCTATGGCAGATCACATGTGGCTTTTATGTGCACGCCACTACTCTACCAGGCCACCAATCCTCAGTTGACAAGCTGTGTCTCATATGATTAGGCTGTACGCACACTAGGACCTCGACTAACTCCTGGATGTGATTGTAGTCAGATACAGCCACAACGAGCCATACTTGTGGTTAGATACATCTGTAAAGTCCTTGTGTCAATATGCTCTTAAACTTATCACAATTCAACCCTAAATGCGAAGCCATGCTGAATTTATATGCCCTCTAGCCGGACATGTGAAAATCCTGGGCTATATGTGTGCTTTGACTGCTGTGGAGGCTCCATCTGTTACTGGGAAAAATCACTTGCTGACCTACCGTTGACCAACCTTAACCCCTTGAACCTCTGAAACCCAAAGTCTCAAAGCCGTAACTTTTAAACCCTTGAATCCGTAAACCCCGAAACCCTGAGACCCTGAAACCCTTAAACCCTGAAACCCTTGGTTTACATCCGTAAACCTTTAGACCCTTAATACTTTAATGCTTTAAACCCTTGGTTTAAATCTTTAATCATTTAGATCTTTTAACCGTTTAAACCCTTTAAACCCGTTAACCCTTCGGCTTCTTAACCCGTTAAATCCCTTAACCCTTCAGCCCATTAACGCTTCAGCTCTTTAACCCTTTAACCCTTTAACCCCTTTACACTTTAACCCTTTAACCTCTTTAACCCTTTAACCCCTTATACTTTAACTCTTTAACCCTTTAATCCTTTAACCCTTTAACCCTTTAACCCCTTTACACTTTAACCCTTCGACCCTAAACCTTAAACCCCAAACAGTTAAAACCGTTAGACCGTTAAACCTTTAAACCTTTAAACCCTTAAACCCTTAAACCCTTAAACCCTTAACCCCTAAACCCTTGAAAGCCTTGAGCCCTAAACCGTTCAGTCCTTCAAGACAGCTGAACTGTATAACATTGGTAGCATACACAAAACTCTGCAGCAATGATAATTGTTTTTGTCCGTTGTGTTGTGTGTTGCATCTGGATTAGGTTGGCTCAATCTGTGGTGAGGGGTTGGTTAGCACTGTGTTAGTTGGTGAGAAAGGAATTTTCTAGTGGGTGGGAAAGGATTTTCATCTTTGTTCTTTCTGGTTCTTTGCCCTTTGCATTTGCTTTCAGCGACTTCCTTTTCCCCCCACCCGCCCCTGACATCCTTTTCCCCATTTGTCCCTGTCGTTGGTGTCATTGGTTTCTTTCTTGTTCTTTTCTTCTGCCTTCCATGGAAGCTTCCGACTTGCCTGTTGAATAAGGATAAGGTTCAGCTGGCACTTCTTAGTTGGTCGGCAACACAGATCAATTGCAGTCGATCAGAAACAAAAACTCTTGTGACATCCCTGCTCACCGTTCCATAGCGCTCGACCTGTCAGCAGCATACTGCCTATACCATACACTTCCAAGTGCTCGATTCCAGTTTGTTTGGCCTGCAGTGGACCTGTGTGCTTGTCTTTTTTTGTCTTTTTTTTTTTAGTGCGGGCTAATTGCAAGGATATGGGACCTTGGCAGTGCAAAATGGGGCCCTGCCCGTCCTAGGTGAAGGCAGGCACCCGGAAATACAGCAGAGCGTCCGAAGAGGCCAATGTGAGCAGAAATGGGGCACCACGTGGAGATGCTGGACGCAGCATCTTCAACTAACCGGTAGGGGCTCAACCACCGGGTCATTGAAGAAGCATCTCCCGGATGGGCCTCGTGAAGCTTCCGGAAGGGGCACAGGGCGCAGGAAAATGCGACTGGGCGCAGCCAGGCAGGAGGTTGCTCAGCCTCTCCAGCAAACACAAAAGGCTGGAGGGCACAGCCTCCAGACACATTCGAGCATTGTGTCAATGCGGCAGCGCTGCGCGAGCAGATGCTGAGCGCTGTGCCGTAGGGGAAGCTTCCGATCAGTAGCAGCGAGGAAGGATGCGGCAGCCATAGCCGAGCTGTGCTCACCATAGCCAAGTAATGGAAGAGAAGCAGAGGTGCTTGGAGGATGAAGGGCTGTAGGTGAAGGACAAGGAGAGTAGGGCAGTGTGAGGAGGCACATACCTGCTGTCGACAAAGGCAGACTGTTTGATCAGAGTCTTCAAGCGGCATTGGGCTTTGTTCATTGGCGGACCTACTGTACGTCGTAGAGGCTAGTTTGATAGAAGCATCTGTTAGTACTCTGGGCGGATAGCAAAATTGAAAATTCCAACCATGATTAGAAGACTATTAGAAGCAGGAATAGCAAATTCTAACCATGGTTAGTCAGTAGGAAGCTATGTTGTGGTTGCACTGGCGATTGGAGGTGTTGAGAGGGCTTTGTGTTACCAAGAGACTTGAATGCTTTGCTTGTTCCTATTTGGTATTATCTTGCTTTGCAGTCTGCTTTAGTTTCGGTGGAGTCGGTGATATCTGGTCTTTCTGTGAGATGATGTAATTTGGTCTATTTTGCTGTCTGCATTGCTATTTCCTTGCAAAATGGACCATGGATCAGATATTTAACTGGTTGAAACAGATACCTGTATGCTTGTCTCATTTATCAGTTTTCTAAATTTCACCCAAGTTTAATGTCTACTTTTTGGTGCAGGAATGCAGGGATTGTGTTCCTTGGCGATTTCTGGAATGCGCGTGGAGTTCTCCCCGTCCAACCTCTCAACATGGTTATTGAGGAGCTCCGTACGTGGACACAGCCGATGCTTATGATTCCCGGAAATCATGACCAGGTACAATGGATGAGACAAAGTCAATATAGAAGGAGAGCTGTGCTGTGTGTACAAGAGCTGGAGAGTCAAGTCTACTGCAAATAGTAGTCTAACCATGGTTGGAAATTGCTAGTGCTGCGACCAGTCGTTTTCTGACCATGGTTATACTTCGCTATTGCTGCTGCTAGTAGTATTCTAACCATGGTTGGGATTTGCTATCGAGGCTACCAGTAGTCGTGTAACCATGGCTATACTTTGCTATTACCGCTGCCATTAGCAGTCAAACTATGGTTGGAATTTTCTATCGCTGCTTCCAGTAGTCTTCTAACTGTGGATTTGCCTTGCTTCTACCGCTGCCGGTAGTAGTCTAACCATGGTTGGAATTTGCTATTGCTGCTACCAGTAGTCTTCTGACCATTGCTATACTTTGCCATTGCTGCTGCAATAGCAGTCTGACCATGGTGAAACAGCTTTCACCTTTGGCAGTAGCCGATGCAGATCCCAGGGGTCGATCCCTTGACCTCAGCTTACCTGTGTATAGTATCTGCACAGTTCCCTGG